GGCTGGAAATCAGAAGCACAAAACTAAAGAAAGCAAATACAAGCGTCACTGATTGGCTAATCATCAAGCAAATACAGGTAGCGACACAGGTGCAATACGAACAAACCTTCTAGCTATTCCAATCATATTCGCAATACACCACGATAACCACCTGTCTCATCCACCCACCTTCTCTACCCTCTTTTTACCCCGGGCTTTTTATCTGTTATTGAGTATCTTCACGGAAACCTTGCCGAAAATTTGAAGAATGGTGGTTTGATGGCGAGGAATGAACGGGGTAGGGTAAACCTGGATAAGAATCGGAAAGTTGAAAATATCCTAAATATATTGTTGATGCAGAAAAACACATTGGTTCGCATCTGATTCTTTCACTGCCTTCTGCGTCTTCCGTAGAATTACGAGCAGTCAAGGGAAAAAAGATATGACTATTAATTTTGGAGAAAATTACTGCACCAAGTAATTCCCACCAACCACTCACAACAGGGTTTTCCAATTCTCGAACTGTTCACTAAAGTTTGCTATGTCTGGCACAAGATAAATAAAACGCGTAACATTGTTGAATAAGACCCACCGTAGAGGATGCCGCGTTAGACTTGTGTCACAACAGACAATTAAAGAAGCCATATACAGACTGATCTGAAAGATGAGCCCCTAGACATGGAACCGGGAAAGATATCCTCGCTCCACTGTGAGTAGTAAAAAACCGTATGGTTGATAGATATATAAACACCCACACTAGAGAGAAGAGTTTCTCAGATTTTCAGCAGTGTAGAAGGCAGAATAAATAGTGATCAGTAAAAAGATGACCCCGAAATGCGATTTGCAGGTCGGGAACACTAGAATCAAGCAGATGCGGAAGTTTATATATCTTGGAAGCGTTTTGACAAAAAACGGTAAGTGTAACACTGAGACCCGTAGACGTATTGGTATGGCCAAGTACGCATTCCAAAAGCTGGCCATAGTATTGCTAGACAGGAAGATTTCTTTGGTAACAAAAAAAAAAAGAATACTGAGTTGTTACGTGACATCTATTCTTCTTTACCACAGCAAATTTTGGACGATTTCCTTAAAGATGAAGAAGAGAATCGAGGCAACAGAGATGTTGTTCTACAGAAGGATGCTAAGGATATCATGGACCGAGCGTGTGAGTAAAGATGAGGTCTTGCAGAGGACGCAAACAAGGAGAGGGATTATAATTAACATCAGGAAAAGGACAGCTGAAGTTTCTGGGACACATAATGAGGAAGGATGGCCTGGAGAATCTGATACTCACGAGTCGAATAGAGAGAAAGAGAAACAAGGGCTTAAGCAAGTAGATGACGGAACGTGGTCTGGGTGATGAAGCAGAAGAAAGGAACTTGTTTAGAGCTTCAATAGATAGAGGGAGTTGGAGAGCCATGATCGCCTACGCCCTGAAAGGACACGGCACATAAAAAGAAATGATATATATTTCCTTCTCAAACTCTCTCCTACACACACACACACACACACACACACACACACACACACACACACACACTAAAAAAGTTTAAGGTCAAATCATCTAGAATGCATGTCATGTCTGAATACCTATGCTATTTGTAGTTGGATCTGGGCCTTAATTCGATATATGACCATCTATGTACCATAATGTAAGCCTCTTTATGTGTCGTTTCCTTTAAGGACGTAGACGATCATGGCTCTCTACCTCGCTCTATCCCTTGCAACTCTCAACAAGTTCCTTCCCACTGCCACCTCCCACAGACTACGGTCTGTTATTCACTTGATTAAGGCCGCTAGATGTCATGCGTTATTTTCCCTTGACTCTCTTTCTCTCTATTCGACTCGCGAGTATCAGATTCTCCAGGCTCTTCTTTCTCATGTTGTGTCCAAGGAACTTCAGCTGCTTCTTACTGATGTGAAGTATTAGCCTCCTCCTGTGACTATATTCATATCTTAAACGAGCTAATCGGAATGTTGGGTCCGTACCGCTGGTTAAAATGCCGACATGACAATTAAAATCACTGCTGAGTATCCGGATTCTTACAAAATGTAAATAATTATCGACAATCCCGAAAATCTACATTTTCATCATAGGTGAGGTAACTTTTTGAAGGTCATTTAAATAACAAGGCGACAATTCTGTGGTGTGTGCTATTTGTTTTTAAAAAATACTGACATTTACGACATTCCCCTAAAAAGAATTCGTTGTCTGTCTTCGAAGAAAATATCCATGAATAATTCTGTTTTTCTATCTTCATGTTTGACACTATCATCTGAAAATCGAGGGTGGTTTTCAAACAGTAGCTTAAATATGACACACAGCCGAAAGTATAAAGCACTCAGTGAGGATCGAACTCATTAATCAGTCAAAATTGTTCTAGCGAGAATAAGTTCGCTAATCGCTACCCCACGCCGAACAACTTTCGCGGGTACTTTATATATGTGGATATACAGTCACTTTCTTTCTCTCTTTATATATGTGGATATACAGTCACTTTCTTTCTCTCTATATATATGT